ATTAAATATAACAATAAAAACTGTGAAAATAGTCATATGATATGCGCATATGTATGTATGTAAATAAACAAAAAAAAATTCATTTATTAAACCAAATAAACAAATTTTTGCATTAAAATAGTACAACGATTAATACAAATGGCTTAAGCTTTTGCGAAAAAATATGCGGTAAAATTAAAGCACAAAATTTTTTTGTATAACATATTTAAACTAAAGAATTTTTAATATTATACAATAGAAATGAAAGGGAAACGAAATATTTAAGTTGAAATTTAGGAAAACAACTTCTGACACTGCCGATTTTAGTACAGCAAAATTATATATTAGATAGATCAGGGCCGGCGAACCTTTATACATATATGTACGTGCCATTATTTCCGAAGAAATATTCAATGTTGGCCATGACGTGCCAACGTGCCATGACTTGTCACCGTTCTTTGGTATGTTGTACCACGACCAACAACCGTGCCAAGTTTGGGAGAAATTGGTGGCGCGGTTCCCAAGATATATACGTGTATTCATAAGTGGGCGTGGCGACGCCCATTTTCCCAAAAAATTTATAATATTCTTAATTTTAGCCTAAAAATGATTGTAAATGTCAGTTTTGGGTGAACAATCTTTAGTAGTTACTAAAATACCAGTTTTCGAATTTCTGAAAACTACCGTTATATGGGAGGTAGGCGTGGTTATTGTCCGATTTTGCCCATTTTCAATACCATCCGTCCTACGCCGAAAAGAAGTACACATGCCAAGTTTCGTTAAGATATCGGGGCGGACGAACGGACGGACGGATGGACAGACAGACCTCTACTTCAGAAAATAGTTTTGTTACTCTTAACCAAGCTATCGTAAATCTGCGGGAAACCCTATTTTTGCGTATATGCCATCAATAAGAATCGTATACTCGATAATAGAGCCCCTTACTCTAATAGAAATCACCATCCAAATGAATCTTAAAGAATCTTTGTAAACGAAAAAGGAACGATATGTACATTTCGTCAACCTCAAGATAAAGTCGCAGTAGACAGACCGATCCGGTGTATACTTCATATGTAGTATACCACCGCAAAAAGTAGTGATCGAGCCAAATTAAGTAGGCAAGACTCATTTTGGTATCGCAAAATCAATTTCCATAATTAGTGACGATTTGACGACAAGTCGTCCAATTCTTTATGCTGGACATTATGTAAGAATCTTGAAAGAAAGGTAAGTCATTTGAATTTTCAATCTAAATATCTGCATTTCAACCCGCCATCGCTTATAAGATGGGTAATCAAGTGTTGCAATATCGACCGTGCAGTTTCAATAACCGTCCTGCAGAATCTGTATTGCCCATCCGAAAAAATAGCGGTTCAGACAGGTAATAGAGTTCAGCTTGTATTGTCCTGTAAGAATTCCTGTGATCCAGTGTCCAAGTGAGCGATTTGGAATGCTATAGGACTGGTAGATTGTACCAGTAGAGATTTCTGTCCGCTTTTTTCTTTCTTTGGGCCCTTTTCTGTGCCTAAGTATATTGGCAATCTCATTTCCTTCAATACTGATTTATATAAACTGGAACCCAGATATTGCTCAACGTGCTCAAGGACCAGGAGACGTGCGGTTTTCACGGGGTCCGACCAGAGATCTCTGTCTCTGAGTTGGTGTGATAGACGGAGTCTTCATATGTCCGACATATGTACGTTGAGTTCGTCTGGGTCTAGTCTGGATAAGTAGGAGTTTAGCCTGCTAAAATATTCAGACGACAATTGGGCCAGAGTTACGTGGGACTGTCTCGACAGTTGAAGCTCGTTTTTGTCCACAGCTCGTGATTGGACTCTTATGAAGCCAATGAAAGGAGGGTACTAAGTGTAGGTGGTGACAGTCTCCCTGTGAACGCCGTTGATTGCCAGTCTGTACAGTGTCGGGACCAATGGTTGTTGTACGTATTGTTGGATCTCGTCCTTTAATTCGTAGAGATGCGTTCTGACATGCTAGGTGGATGTTCCGCCTTAAGCAAGTGACTGTTCGAATGCTCACGTCTGTAGCACTCTACTAGAAACTGCTTTCTGGGCACGGTGTTGTGCTCTCGACCTGAACAGCGGCTTGGCTTTCGGTCAAGAATGCAATGTTCTGCTTCCCGTAGTGGCGCTTGTCCGCACATCTTTCTCACAGGTTCCGTGTAAATCAACCCCAACTCAATTTCTTTTATTACTAAGTTCTGTTCTAAAACTTTTTCTAATATCGAACTTTGAATGCATGGTGGCCCTTTGTACTGCAACTTCAGTGTAATGCTTCTATGGCCCTTCTTTGCCGATGTCGACCAGTTATGTTTGTATGATAGTCCTTCTCGTCCGAGTCCGGAAATTAATATGGAGAGGGGTGTTGGCTACGAGAACTTCCAAGGATGGCGTTGAATAAATTTTCATGTATTTTTTGATGATACGCTATTCCGAAATTAAAAAGATTCCAAATATATTTTTTTAAGTGATTCCAAAACACATTCTTTTCGAGTCCTTTATAGATATTTTATCAACGTCGTTGCCGCGGTGATATGGATATTTTTTAATTTTTATTGAAAATAAATATTTGGCTGAGCTTCTCCTTCGATTTGTGGTGTGCGCCTTGACGTTACCACAAAAGGGGGAGGGAACTACAGTTTTACGCCACCTCCAGACGGCAATTTATTTCAAGGGGACATAAAAATGCCAGCTTTCGGGGATCTTTAGGTTGAAATAAAAAACCTTCTACAATTACTGTAGATAAGGGGAATACCGGCAATGATAAAAAATTTGAATAAAAAATATGTAAAAAGTTATACATTTTTCCATCATCAGCATTTCAGCATAAAAAAACAAAAAAATAAGTTACCTATTTTTCTTTTTTCAACAAATAATACTCACCAAATACTTTTTCTTTGAAATAAATAATAAAAAGTTATATTCTGGTAAAAAAAATCTTATACAAAAAATGCAATAATTTTTAAAATACAATCTTTGAATTAAAAAAAAAAAAAATATCGTTAGAATAAAAAAAAATAATAATGGAGTTTAATCTATAAGAAAATACAAAATCAATATGTAAACAAAAAAAATCAGATATTGCAGTTATTAAAAGATAACTGGATTTTAAATAAGTATCAATTAAAGATTATACGCATACATAACAGCGCAAAAAAAATCAAAAAAAATAAAATATTTTCTGTGAAATAAATTTATAACAATTTTTAAGCAAAAAAACAAAATCGACTTCAATTCTCATATAAAAACTTGAGATTATCGTTAATTTTTTCGCGATCCAATTATCGGATCTAAACAAAATTAGTATGGGTACAACCATTCCGATGAAAAAAGAATTATCGAAATCGGTTAACGCGGTCCGACGAACTGATAACCTTCTCCTTTATGTTAAGTCGATTCAAAATATCATATCCCATACTTAGTTTAAACACACATACACACACATAAGTGATCGAATATATATACATACATATTTACAAAAAAATTAAAAATTTTAGCAAATCAAATATGTATCTAAAAAAATAGAAAATATATATTGATATATAAAATATACTGAGGTGATAAAACTTCATTGGTATTTGTGTGATGTTGACGGCGTTTAATTGATAAATAAACAATAAAAATATATATTAAATAAATTAATTTTGTGCTGTTTTGATTTCAAAGGAAGTTAGCAAAAAATATTTTATAAAATATCAAACAAATTGTATGCCAAGTGGTTTCTTATTTCGCTAATTGATTTATTTTTTCACCCAAAAACATAACTGATTTATTAATATTGTTTTAATATGTGTATGTACAAATCCTTGTTTTTCCTACTATTTTTTTTAGTTTTCATTTCTTCGTACTATTTAAAAAACTACGTCTCTGCAACCCTAAAATTTAACGAAAAGTAATTTTCATTCGTCAAGTACCATGACAGTGAAACTGGAAAACAATCGATGTTTGGGACAATCGATGTTTTCAAAGCAAAACATCGATGTACTATCGTTGTTTCCTCCGTAATGTACATAAATGCACATGAACGAAAGACACAAGATCACGTAAGAACAAGAGAGTGAAAAAAGTCGACTTTTTTAGCGGGTTCTACGCCATCTTGTTTCACTGGAAAACGAGCGAAAAGTAAACAAAGCAAAGAAAACAACGAAAACCAAAATTAGCCAAAATTATTGTCAGCCACTTTAAACGCACAATTTAGGTAAAATGATGCAACAAAATGCTTTAAAATGTGTTGTCATGTTGAATTAACTCTTCTTTACTTGAATAAAAGTGTAAAATAGTGGTGCTTGTGATGTAAACAAACGCTCAGCTGACGAACCCGCTTTTGCAAACTTTTTTCTCAAAACCAGTTACAAATACAACGTCGCGTTCTTACGTGATCTTGTATTTTTGGTTCATGATAAATGCATACCTTTGGGATGGAATTGTAAAACAAACAGTACATATTTTGCATATTTTCTCTAATAACTGTGTTTGGTAAAAATAAATTATACGGTGACTGACATCACATGCAATATAGTTTTTAGAAAACTAACCTCCAAAAGTGTTTTTAAATATATAAATCATTTATATTGTGATTCCTCGTAATACAACTCCCAATACATAAACGAGCAAACTATAATTATTTAGATAAACCCTCTGCGGAAGAATTTAAATTAATATTAACTATAGAGAGTACGAATGAATTCGTTGCCCGGGGACTTTTTAATGTGGTGATAATTTCAGTTCCATAAAATATTCGTCAAATTAATTCTTTGTCTCGACAATCATTTAATTAATTGCAATAAAAGATTTTACGAAAATCAAACATTTGTTGGATTCATTAATAGAGCCAAAAATGTGTAGTACTTCATAAAAATTGTTTCTAACAAATGGTGTCTTAATGAGAAAAAAAAACCCATTGATAGTGACAGAAAAAACATCGATAGTGGGGGAAATTGGAAAACGACCATACTATCGATAGTGCCATCGATTGTTTTCCAGCTCTAAATGACAGTCATGTGATGACTTATGACGTTCTGTCACAGTGGTGTTGGTCGATAACGCGAAAACTTGAAAATATACAGAAAAAATTATTTTTCTATCGGGAAATCTTTACCATTCGGGAGTCTTTTTACGTGCACACACAGCAACTTTGGGCTTCAGCTTAAACCGAATTGAAAGAATTCAATTGCGATTTGCATTTTAGTAGCAGCATCTAATTTTCTTCACAAAAACTCGAGCGAAACAAAGAAAAGAAAAAATGAGTGAAGGTTGCATTTTCAACATTGATGGTGGCTACTTAGAGGGTCTGTGCCGTGGTTTCAAGTGTGGCATATTGAAGCAGTCCGACTACCTAAATCTGGTGCAGTGTGAAACTTTAGAAGGTAGGTGGCCTGAAAATCAAATACGGGATGCTCGCTGCGTGTAAGCTTTGGCATTCCGCACTGCATTTTTCATCGTAAAACAGCCGGTGTAAGGGGGTGGTGGTGGTCATGTGACACACCATTAAACTTTGGTTGTGCGTGTGTGTATATTTGCAAATGGCAGGGTTTTTGCGATGCCAAAGCCAAGTGTCAAACTTTTGGGAGTTGTCTTGTGACCGGATTATTTTAGTAATTTTTCTTTTGTAGATTTAAAATTGCACTTGCAAAGTACCGATTATGGTAGCTTCTTGGCCAATGAGCCATCGCCACTTTCCGTGTCCGTGATCGATGACAAATTGCGCGAGAAACTCGTCATTGAATTCCAGCATCTACGTAATCATGCTGTAGAGCCATTGGCCAGCTTCCTGGATTTCATCACTTATGGCTACATGATTGATAACATCATTTTGCTCATCACTGGCACACTTCATCAGCGCCCAATCTCCGAATTGATTCCCAAATGTCATCCATTGGGCAGCTTCGAGCAAATGGAAGCCATTCATGTTGCTGCAACACCAGCTGAATTGTACAATGCAGTGCTGGTTGACACACCACTAGCTCCATTCTTTGTTGATTGCATTTCAGAACAAGATTTGGATGAAATGAACATTGAGATCATTCGTAATACTTTGTACAAGGCCTACCTAGAAGCTTTTTATGAATTCAGCAAGAAGATAGGTGGCTCCACTGCCGATGTCATGTGCGAAATATTGGCTGTAAGTTTAGTTATTTACGATCCGATGTGAATTATTGATTAAAAAAACTTATGCATTTACAGTTTGAAGCCGATCGCCGTGCTATAATTATTACCATTAACTCCTTCGGCACTGAATTGTCAAAGGATGACCGCGCTAAGCTGTATCCTCGCTGCGGTCATATGCACCCGGATGGTTTAGCTGCATTAGCACGTGCCGATGACTACGAACAAGTGAAGACCGTGGCCGAGTATTATGCTGAATATGCCGCACTGTTTGATGGTTCTGGCAACAATCCTGGCGACAAGACACTTGAAGATAAATTCTTTGAGCATGAAGTCAAGCTTAATGTCTTCGCTTTCATGCAACAGTTCCACTTCGGCGTCTTCTACGCGTACTTGAAGTTAAAAGAGCAAGAGTGCCGCAACATTGTGTGGATTTCGGAGTGTGTGGCACAGAAGCATCGCGCGAAAATCGACAACTACATACCCATTTTCTAAATTGTATCCATAAATTTTTGTTGTTCTTTCGGGTTGTTGCTGTCGCTCGTGTATGTTTTGCACTTTGGTCGATCAAAATAAATAAACTGAGTTTTGTTCGATTGAAATCGTTGCATACAAAATCACGAGCATTTTAATAGTTAACAGTATCTTTTTGTGTATATATATACAAATATGTATGTAATTTGTTTGTCTTGTAATACGAGTGGTATACATTAAAGGCAAAATTTCCAAAATTTTTGTTTCAGTATAAACTATTTGCTGATTAATATTTCATGTGCATATCGACATGCATAAAAGTTTAAAAACATACATAGGAAAAACATAATTGCATATATAAATGTAAACTAACTGTATTAAATACCCCATTGTGCAAATATACATATAGAACATACATGCATATATCATTAATAGGTTACTGTAAATTACCTATCTGAAAATAATAAAATTTGTTTCAAACATTCCTTAAAACAGATGTGACTCACAATTTTCATCCTAAATAAGTGATTTAGGCCGAACGTAAGGAGTAGTAATGTCCCAGAAGATAATTTAAGCAATTCTAAGAGGCCTACACAAGAAGGGCTGATTTACGCGAATGCATAAATGTATATTATTTAGCACTACAAATGAATTTCAATGAACATTTTAAGTTGCAATAACACATATGTGATATAAACTTTAAGCAAACACTTCAAAAATACTTTTTATAAATTTAAGAAAAAACTTTAAAAGAACTCCTCCAAAAGGCCATTTGAAGTACATCCTGTAAAAGCCCTTTTGGAAGGCGTTTTATGTGTAGCGAAAGAAGAAGCCCTTCAATTTGTGCCACTCCATACAAAAAAGAAAGGTGAAAGGAATGTAGAGTGGAAGGCCTCTTGACTCTCAGGAAGGGCTTTTAACTCCTGAAATTATCTACTGGGGTACTTAATAACGCAATTAGCCAGTAACAAAATTCAGAGAACAAGGTACCTTACTCTCCCGAAGAGAGAAACTTACTAAGTTTTGCGCGAACAGGAACTATAAAACATTAGCAAGCTTCACTGCGAGCTGGCATCCACGGTTGCATTTCGAGCATAATAATTTTTTTAAATTATTTCAGGTGGAAATCAAAACAGAACTTATACGTATATTTCTTCTTATTCTGACTCTCTTCAACATACGCTTCAATTTCATTGTGGAAGTCACTGTCGGATTTCCTATATCGACAGTGATGTCGAGTGCGTTCCGATTACGAATACAGCTTTTTCAGCCCAGTACCTTTCAAATGTTTGGAATTAATTAAATTAATTGAATAAACGAATATTTACATACTTCTTTCATTAGTAAATCGCAACAAGATTGTTCATTTTTAAATTTAACAAACTCGTTGATTCAAATTAATGTTGACAAATGTGCAACCGTGTGCCACAATCCTGCTTGCAAATTCTTACTGGCAAACATTTTCCCAGCACGAATTTGCAACTTCCCCTCCAAACGAAATGTCAAAATTGTGCTCTATCCTTGCAAGTTTTACTGGGTTTTTGGCTAAACGAACACGATTTGGTAACAATTGGTACCAACTTGTACAAATTTTTTGCATAGCGAACACTACGATCATCATATTAAGAACTACATAGAATATACATCGGTCGAAAAACTATATCAGTCAGTCAAAATATCATCGCATTCGGTCGAATCCAATCCTTAATGCATCGCAAATTTTATTTAAAAAAAACTGGCAGAAAACCAATTTAATGAACCGCGTTTGCAATTTAGCATTGCGAAATTCTAAACTTTGAGAAGGTTAATGATGGCGACGGGAACGTATCTCAGAGACAATAGACCTAATATAATTTGATTTAAATAGCTTAGGGCCGGTTACTCAATGTCTGGTTAACACTAATCTCCGGTTAAACATTGTTATCGACGTATTCGACTCCATTCATATAACAGGGAGTCGGTAACGTCGATAACGATGTTTAACCAGAGATTAGTGTTAACCAGACATTGAGTAACCGGCCCTTACTCAGTTTAGCTAAAGAGCAATTCTTTTATTGCTTCTGTTAAATAGCAAAATGTCCTTGTACACACTTTCTTTGGTAATGTACGCACATACATACATACATATATATGTACATTTCGATGGTCCTCTGCAATAACGACTCAAACCGAAATTCAAAAAATTAAAACCCTTACTACTGTTAAGTGGCTCATGTTCTTAATCCATGTCCAATCCTTACTAAAGTAAGTAGTAAGGATTGCTAAAGTACATAAATTCAAGCCTCATGTAGGCTATACAGCCGCCGAAGTTGTTTCCGAGCGCCCAACTACTCCGAGAGACTCTACATTCTCCATGCCTTAGTTGGTAAAGGGGCTCAGAAGTATGTATGAATGTCTGATAAGGCGGCCACGCCTTTGGTAAGGTAAGGGATATACATAGGTAAGCACCGCCGGTTGAAGTGTAAGGTGCTGGTAAGGCATTGGGTGTATTCGAGCTGCAATAAATGCAGCAGTGTTACTTTTTATGAAACAGTACCACGTTCTATGCGAAAATTTGGGCGACTCTGCCTACATCAAGCGCTTGAGAAACAAAATTTTGACAATCAGTTACTCATCATTGCCAAATCAAAAGCAACATAAAAATTTTTACTGCCCAATTTCTGCAGCATTTTAGGAAATGTTCAGTTGAGCATCAGCAACAAGTCATCAGGAAAGCAGCAAGGCTGCAATATTGCGGTAATTTTTTTGTATGTAGCTCGAACGCACCCATTACTACGAGCCCCTATTTCCAACGGGGAGGATAACCTTTGCCTTCATATTAATTTCTTTATAACAACACAACGCATAATAATTAAATCGCTGGTACTTACCTACTGCTTATTGTTTTTTTTTAACTCTAATGCCGCCTTTATCGCGCTCACTCGGTTTAATTCCCATTCCCCATTTCACTTTGAGCTGTTAAAAAGCAACAAGTCCTTTAAAATTTAAATATTTCTGTGATTTTAAATTTACGTACATACCTCTTAAAATTTATTATCTTAAACGAGACGCTGAGATTTCAATGAAATCATGCGTTTTTTCCGAGGCTTTTAAATTTTGCAGCTGTACATTAAATTTGATTTTTAGCATTTTTTTTAAACTTGAATCCTGTATTGATGTTGATTTATTCGTGCTGCGAGCGTTATACTGGCTGCGTTATTTATGCCACTTCCGGAAAAATTCGACATCTGCATGAAAAAATATTACCGTTGCGTTACTCGGGCGGAAAATCAACTTTAATAAAAATATATTCCATGGTTAACGCTCCAAATAAAGGACTCGCGTATTTGAGTTTTGAATTTTTAATTTAGCGTGTGGCGTGGTACCCGAAGAAGTTAGTCGAATAGCAAAACTTGTTTAAAAAATAGTCGACTTCTCTTAATCGACTAACCGTTTCCTTTCGACTTTTTCAACTAATGATGCGTTTCTATTGCATTTAAATTGAAACATTTAGCACTTAGAACATATATTTTCGAAAAGAGTTCATGCTATCGCATTTACCAAATGCACATTTATGGGCTGTTTTTGCTTACGCGTAAATGTACATTTAGCGCATTTAGCTCTAAATGCTACTCTAAATGTACATTTATCCATACAAAATTCGTCATCTAAATGCAACTAAATGCATCTCAATCTTTGCATTTAGAATCTAAATGCTAAAAGCATCCCTGTGATCTTCCAACATTTCCACGATTCGAACATGGTTTAATGAGAAAAAGTGGCAACATTGCTTTTTCGAGTATACAACCGCTAGCTGCGTTTCAGTGATCGCCGATCGAGATTTCATTTATTATTTTACATTATTTGGATAAAGAAAAGTTACGCAAATTCAACATCGATATGATGCTGATAGAAATCTGGATTAATTTGTGATCAACTCTGTTTGTTTTGTTTCCTAATTAGGTGTGGAAAATATAATTGGCAGCACCGACAAATGAATATATACACAAACAAATGTTCGGTTATGGTTAAAACAATTCATGTTTTTATATTGAATTTTCGGTTTAGAATTTATTTTTCCTTTTCAGTAGGGGTTTTTGCACATTATCTTTTCCGTGAGAATTTATCGTAATGGATACGGATCTGAATAAGCGACTGGAACACGGCTGTTTGTCAAAAGCATACGATTTCGAACTCGCGTAAATGTACATTTGCTAAATGCGATAGCATGAACGCTCTTCGAAAACATATGTTCGAAAGTGCTAAATGTTGCATTTTAAATGCAGCAAAAACGCTGCATTAAGCGATTTCGAAGTTGTATGCTTTTGACCAAAGAATGTAAATGTACATTTACGTTCTTTGATTCAGAGAAATATCTAAACCTCGCACAAATTCCTCTGTTTCAATCCAAACTGCAACTGTCAATTATTTCTTCTTGCCTACCGTTTTTGTTCTTCAGGTGGCAACATTTATTGTGCTCTGACGAATCGCATCGCAAATTCGTTTTTTCGTTGGTTTTCTTCGTCGATGATCGAAGAGGTGGAAAGAAGTTTTACTCATCGTGCGTAGAAAAGTTTTATACAATTTCACTTATGAATATTGGAATAAAGACCAAATAAAAGTGCTTAAATTTGAGGCTAGAAAGATTGTGCGTGTGCGTGCCAATAGGAAAGCAAAATTGCATATTTCTACGGTGTGAAAAAAGTGAAGCAGCAGCAGTACCTAAAACGGTGAAGAAAAATCCAATTGGACTTGAAACCAGATAGAAAAGCAAAGGAAAAGTCATCATATGCGAAGAGCTAAACAAAGAGCAAAGCAACAAGGAAAAATTAGGAATTAAAGAGAAGCAGTGAGAGTGGAATACACAAACAGGAAAAAATTGACAGTTCGCTACGAATGTTGCTAAAAAGTAACTACATTCTTGTCCAGCTCCAATTGTCCATGACATAGGGTCACTGTTCTGGTAGAAACCTCAGAAACAATAACGAAACTTTTGGCCACAAAGCATTGTAAAACAAACATAAGAAACAAAGATAAGAAGAGCATAAAAGCAACGGAAAGAAAGGTGCTTAGCCCATCTTAACGCCTTTTCCACACTGCTACTGCTGTGGCTGGTCTTTCGTTAACGTGTCTTGAACTCTAGTATTACATATTACCTGTGCCCTGTACGCCCCGGAAACACCGGAATACTCATACCTGTCACACGCCACCTTCACTACCACAGCCAACAACAGTGCCACTTTCAACGTTAAAGTGAAGTTTGTGCCCACTGCTAAACTAGTTAAAATCGTGACTTGTTCTTGTTGCAAAATTTCTAAGTGGCAAGAGCCTACGAGGATTGAAGTGTTTCGTTCCTGCTGTATTTCTTCTTAGATTTATCCACAAATTTGGTTTCTTTTCTAACTGAAACGCAGCAATTGAAAACAGTAAATAAGT